CCAGTTTGTGCCCATTGCCCCTTGTCCTGTCACTGGGCACCACCGAGAAGAGCCTGGCCCCATCCATTGACCCCACATTTCAGATCTTTATAGACATTGATCAGATCCCCTCTCAGGCTGCTCTTCTCCAGGCTGAACAGTCCCAGCTCTCTCAGCCTCTCCTCGTCAGGCAGATGCTCCAGGCCCCTCATCATCTTTGTGGCCTCCACTGGACTCTCTCCAGAAGATCCCTGTCCCTCTGGAACTGGGGAGCCCAGAACTGGACACAACACTCCAGATGTGGCCTCACCAGGGCAGAGTAGAGGGGGAGGAGAACCTCCCTTGACCTACTGGCCACGCTCTTCTCAATGCCCCCAGGAGACCATTGGCCTTCTTGGCCCCAAGGACACACTGCTGGCTCATGGCCAACCTGCTGGCCACCACTTGCCTAATTTTTTTTTAGATTCTTTTTTGGTGGCAGTTGAGGGGAGGAAGTTCAGCCGCTCTGGTACAAAGGCCCAGAGATGCTTTTGCCAAAGATACAGCTGCAACAGCTCAGTGTTTTCACAAGGGTTTTGCAGACTCAGCTGGCAGAGCTCCCTGCACCGGACATGCTCCAGCACCATCAAACCACTGGATGGAGATGCCCTTGGATGGTGCCCAACGCTGCTGAGCATCCCCACACTGATCTGGTGCTTCCTTTGCTGAGGACCACCTGGTTTGGGTGGAATATCTCCTGTTTAGACCCCATCCCAGCTTTGCTCCCCTCCAGAGATCACTTCATTAATGGGAATCTTGGGGTTTTTTCCATAGCTTTGGCTGAACCTCTGAAATATTTTGAATAGTTCCATGAAATATTTGCTTGAAATACATCTTTAGAGAAACAACACATCAGCATAAAGGCATCTTTGGGAAGGAAAAAAAAGTGGTGTTAGTTCCCCTCCAGGATGTGTTTAGAGAAACCCTGGCAGGTGAGAGTTTTCATCCCCTGAGGTGGAGTTTGAGGATTTACTCTGACTTCACCAAACCCACCATCTCCTCCGTGCTACCACAGATGTGGTGGGATGAGGTGCTGGAGATATCTGCACCCAGTTTAATCAGGAGGTGGCTGGAAACTGGATGGTTTGGAGAGAGAAGAAAGCCTCATTTCAGCAGGTCTGTGGTTTCTGGCCATCACAGGACTGGTATCTGGTCCTTGAAACAGATAAGATCCATCTTAATTTATTTTAAATAACTTAATTTTCCCCACCACCATCTTAATTGACCCCTAAACCATATAATTTTCCCCACCACCCTTCTCATATCCTCATCCTTTGCCTTGAAGCCTCAATCCTTTGATGGGCACCATCTAACCAAATCCCAAAGACTTTGGGATTGAGGGGGTGGTTTGTGTGTGTGTTTTCTCTCAACACAACCTCCATGGGACTCAGATTAAGGATTTTGGCTCCAAGGTGTTGCTTCTCCAAGGGTTCATACCTCAAACACCAGATTTCTCTGTCTGAGCCAAGCTAGAGAAACACAGAATATTTTTTTATCATGATTTGCTGGTGTGGAAATCATCCCCCAGCTGTAATTTGGCTCATTTCTAGAGGAACAGCTGTACTACAAACCAAGAGGTCCTGTCTCCCATGGGGTGCCCATCAGCAGTGCAGGAGTATAGTCCTACTTCCCTGGGACCTCTCCCAGTCCTGAGGGGTCCATGGCTCCCACCCTTGGACATGGCTTGTGTCCAAGGTGCTCTTGGGGCAGATGGAAATCCAAAACACTGTACCCTCTGCCTGCAGCTGAGTCTCTGAAGCTGCATAAAAATAGGAAAGGAGAGAGAGAACAAACTGTTTCCCATGTTGAGCTCAATGCTCTGAGCCTTGGGGTCTGTCCAACCAGCACGCTGATTCTTGGAGCCCAGATGAGCAGCTCAGCGTTAGCAAAGCCTGTGGAAGAAGGTAGAGGAATCACAGAATCATCACAGAATCCCAGACTGGGTTGAGTTGGAAGGACCCTTCAAGCTCATCCAGTTCCACCCCCCCTGCCAGCAGCAGGGACACCTTCCACTAGACCACGTTGCTCAAAGCCTCATCCAACCTGGCCTTCAACACTTCCAGGGAGGAGCAGCCACAGCTTCTCTGGACAACCTGGGACACTGTCTCACCACCCTCACACCAAACAATTTCTTCCTCACATCTCAGCTCCATCTCCCCTCTGCCACTTTCAAGCCATCACCCCTTGTTCTCTCACTCCCTGCCCTTGGCCAAAGTCCCTCCCCAGCCTTCCTGGAGCCCCTTCAGGTACTGGGAGGCCACTAGAAGATCTCCCCGGAGCCTTCTCTTCTCCAGGCTGAACAGCCCCAACTCTCTCAGCCTGTCCTCACAGCAGAGCTGCTCCAGCCCTCGCATCATCCTCGTGGCCTCCTCTGCACTGGCTCCAGTAGCTCCATGTCCTTGGAAAGCAGAGGAAGGCAGAAGAAGGCATCATCATCTACTGCTACTCTGCAACCCCCCCCACCAGCCCAGGGAGATGAGCCCTTGAGCCCTTCCACAAAGCCTTGGTCTTTGCTCCCAAGCCAAAGGAGATAATTTCCATCCGTCTAAGGTTTGCTAAGCTCTGGGGCACACGTTTGATGTCCTCCTCAACTCAGCACTCACTTGGGCTGGAGCCTGACCCAGGGGATGAGGGGACAGGCAGCAGCATCCTTAAGAGTGAGCTGTCCCAGGCCAAGCCCGTCCTCCATCCCCTCCGAGCTCTCCTGGGAGAGGTTGGGTGCAGATGGGCCTCCAAAGTGATATTTCCTCTCTCTTTGCCTTCACCAGGGCGGCGGGTTGGAAGCCCTGACGGAACGATTCCAACCCCAACAAGCCACCCCACCACTGATGATGGAGCAGAAACCCGGCATGTACCCCCAGCCTTACTCCTCTGCCTCTCCCACCACCAACCTCCCCGGCGCCTTCCCTGGCATGGTCAGGCAGAAACCATCCTTCGGACCCATGCCGGTGCAGGTACCACCACCCCGTGGTGCCTTCCCCACCAACATGACCATGCAACCACGGCAGACGCTCAACAGACCCCCGACAGCCCCCAACCAGCTACGACTTCAGCTGCAGCAGCGGCTGCAGGGACAGCAGCAGGTAATTCTTCCTCCTCCTCCTCATCCCAAAACCACAGGCAGAAGGTTTTGGAGGGACCCTCAGTCTTTCCTGCATCTGAATCAGAAGGGATTGGATGGGTGGGAAGTTTCCTGCATTGGAGTTTTGAAGGTCTCCTTGGTTTTCTTTTTGCCTCTCACTGTAGCTGATCCATCAAAACCGGCAGGCGATCCTCAACCAGTTTGCAGCCAGTTCTCCAGTGGGTATCAACATGCGGGCGGGGATGCAGCAGCAGATCACACCGCAGGTAAAGGGGGGGATGGATACAGGCATGGTATTCCAGCTGGGAAAAAAAATGGGGAGTGAGTCCCCATTGTTAGCACAGCCTGGCTCGTTCCTCTCTGTCAGGAACAGGAGAGAAAAATCCTTCCATGTGCAGAGAGGTGGAGAAGAGAAGGCTCCGGGGAGACCTTCTAGCATCCTCCCAGTACCTGAAGGGGCTCCAGGAAGGCTGGGGAGGGACTTTTCCTAAGGGCAACTAATGACAAAACAAGGGGAAATGGGTTTAAGCTGAAAGAGGGGAGGTTTAGATGAGATATTAGGAAGAAGTTCTTCACTGTGAGGGTGGTCAGACACTGGAACAGGTTGCCCAAGGAAGTTGTGGCTGCTCCTCCCTGGAAGTGTTGAAGGCCAGGTTGGATGAGGCTTTGAGCAACCTGGTCTAGTGGAAGGTGTCCCTGCTGATGGCAGGGGGGTTGGAACTGGATGAGCTTGAAGGTCCCTTCCAATCCAAACCATTCTGTGATTCTATAGGTGGTTGTGGGGTTGGGGTTTTTTTTTTTGCTTCACCTTTTTTCCACCTTTTTAAGGTCTAAATACTTGGTTATTGCTTAGAGAATGATGAGGTAACACGTTTAATTGAGAAGGATCTTTAGGAAATTGATGCCATCCTTTAAATACCAGAATCTCTAGTGAATCTTCTTAATGATCCTGCAAATCCCCAGGCCCTCAAATTCTCCTTTGGCTTTTAATAAAGTGGATAAAACATCTGCTGGGTACGAGGAGAAGTTGGAAAGTGCAACTGAGTTCTGGTGATTTTTTTATTCCACTTCTTGGAGAAGCTTTTGCTTGTGATGTCCCCAATGTGCCGTGACAGGGAAGGGGACCGAAGGGTTCCTGTGGTAGCTTCAATTTCAACCACTGATGGCTTTGTCAGGCTTTTTAAAGTGATTCATTCCAACACATCTGGCTCAGCCATATGGGGAACCAGCCCGTGGTGATGGAAAAGCTGGTGGGATGGGTTATTTTTTTGAACAGCTCACAGCTGAAAGAGTCGAGGTCAGGGATCCTGGGCTCTGGCGTGAGGGAGCATCCCAGTGAAGGCACAAGAAGTAGGTTCCACCGAGGAGAGGGATGGTTGGTGGCAGCCAGTTGACCAAGAGCCTTTTTTTCCCCCAGCTTGGGAGATGCTCCAGCTCCTGGAGCTTTGCCATTCAGCACATCCAGAGGCTGATCTTTTAATATCACCAACCCACTCTGCCCTGCAGTGCTGCAAATTTACAGCATTTTGGGGGTTTTTCCAGCTTTCCTTGTAAAGGACGAGCACCCTGAGCTGGGGAAGGGGAAGCACCCGTGTCTCATGCACTAGGGGTGGGCTCTGAGTTGTTTGCCAGAACCAGAGGGTAAACGATGCTAATGAGAACATCCCCTTCCTTCCTCACAGCCTCCCCTCAACGCCCAGATGCTGGCCCAACGCCAACGTGAGCTCTACAGCCAACAGCACCGGCAGCGGCAGCTGATGCAGCAACGAGCCATCCTGATGAGACAACAAAGCTTTGGAAACAACCTCCCACCCTCCGCCGGGCTCCCGGTACAGATCGGAGCCGCTCGTTTACCCCAAGCACCTCCTCAACAATTCCCATATCCCCCAAACTACGGTACGACCCCAGGAAACCCTCCCACCTCCACCAGTCCCTTCTCACCCTTGGCATCCAACCCCGAAGCCGCGCTGGCTAACCGCAGCAGCATGGTGAACAGGGGGATGATGGGCGGCGTTGGAGGGCAGTTCGGTGCCGGGATGACCCCCCAGATGCAGCAGAACATCTTTCAGTATTCGGGATCAGGTACGTCGAGAGGTTGGTTGCCTTGGAAAGTTGTCCAGTGGTGGGGTGGGAAGAGCTGAGACTCACTGAGGTGATTCTGTCCCTCTACTCCGCTGTTGTAAGGCCCCACCTGGAATACTGTGTCCAGTTCTGGAGCCACCAACACAAGAGAGACCTGGAGCAGCTGGAACAAGTGCAGAGGAGGCCACCAGGATGATGTGAGGGCTGGAGCAGCTCTGCTGTGAGGACAGGCTGAGAGAGTTGGGGCTGTTCAGCCTGGAGAAGAGAAGGCTCCAGGGAGACCTTCTAGTGGCCTCCCAGGACCTGAAGGGGCTCCAGGAAGGGTGGGGAGGGACTTTGGCCAAGGGCAGGGAGTGAGAGAACAAGGGGTGATGGCTTGAAAGTGGCAGAGGGGAGATGGAGCTGAGATGTGAGGAAGAAATTCTTTGGTGTGAGGGTGGTGAGCCAGTGTCCCAGGTTGGCCAGAGAAGCTGTGGCTGCTCCTCCCTGGAAGTGTTGAAGGCCAGGTTGGATGAGGCTTTGAGCAACGTGGTCTAGTGGAAGGGGTCCCTGCTGCTGGCAGGGGGGGTGGAACTGGATGATCTTTAAGGTCCATTCCAACCCATTCTATGACTCTATAAGCATCAATGCAGGTCTCAGCAAGGTGGACATCACTGATGAGTAGAGAAAACAGTGGTGTGGCTGCAATAACCCCGCAGGAACCTCCTTTGGCATCGTCTCGTCGTTACCTTGGCTATTTTCCAGCCAGGTGTGATGTTAAAGAGAAAACCTGCTGATGGAAACCACCTGAGGATGGGGTTTCCCTGCTCCTTCACCCCTGAGATATTTACATTTGGGTGACACAGCTGCTCGAAACAAAAACCAGAGACCCTGAGATCAAAAGTCTCTCATAGTTCTGGTTCAATGGGGAAGAGGAAGGAACTGGGGCTGCTGGTGGGGTTCTGGGCACCACTGATGCCTTCTGTCCTTCCCCAGGTATGGGTCAGCAAAGTGAACCCACCTTTGCCCCATCGCTCAGCCCCAGCAGCCCCTTGATGTCACCCCAGCTCCCACCTTCACAAAGCCCCATGCTGCAGCCGGCTCCACCGACACCGGGTTACCAGTCGCCTGACATGAAGACCTGGCAGCAAGGAGCCATGGGGAACAGCAGGTAAGATGATGGTGGGGATAACCTGGTGCACACAAGGTGACACACACACGTAGAGAAGGTGGCAAGGTGACACCAAGGTCCCCTGGTGGGGTGTTGGTGGGGTGGTGTTACCTGTAGGGGACACACACACACACACACACGTAGAGAAGGTGGCAAGGTGACACCAAGGTCCCCTGGTAGGGTGTTGGTGGGGTGGTGGGACCTGTATGTGACACACACCCACACACACACACGTAGAGAAGGTGGCAAGGTGACACCAAGGTCCCCTGGTAGGGTGTTGGTGGGGTGGTGGTACCTGTAGGTGACACACCCCCACACACATGTAGAGAAGGTGGCAAGGTGACACCAATGTCCCCTGGTAGGGTGTTGGTGGGGTGGTGGTACCTGTAGGTGACACCTGGCTGAGGACACGTGCTGAGCTCAGGCTGTGGTCCTCCTACCATTATGTCCTCTAGAAGTCACCATCAACCCATGTCCTCATCTTCACCTTGGAGGCAGCCAGAAGCCCACAGCATTTAAATGTGTGTTGAGTAAGACATGAAGCAGGTCTCTGGCTTGTAATTAAACAAGTGGCTTAATTAAGTCTCATGAAAGTGGGTGTAGGAAACATGACAATCAACTGAGTCAAGACCAGCAGTCTCAGGTCACTGTGTGACCTTCTTTAGGTGTGTCCAGCTGTGATGTAGGGAAGCAAACGAGAAGAGTCACCAGACTTGTTGCCTTTTTTGCATGAGTCAGGTTTGAGCTTCAGATCTCCAGAAATGGGGGGAAAAACCATAACCCAAACCCCAAAAGGGGGGATCCCCCCCCCATCGCCTGGGGGATACCTTGCTCTGTGTCTTGGCTCTGTGCAGGGAGCAGGTTACTGGGCTGGGTGGGATGAGATGGGAGCTCTGTTGAAGGTGGGATGCTTCTCCTTGTCTTGTGATGGAGAGTTGTCCTCCTGCCTGGAACAGAAGTGGGGATGGTTGAGTGTTGAGGACACTGGAAGGAGCGTGAAAGGGTGAACTTGGTGTCACATAGACCAGGGTTTTGCGTGTGACTGACCCTTAATCCAGCCCAAAACCCTGTAATGGCCTCGATTGGAAAAGCCCTTGAAGCTCATGGAGCTTCCTTGGAGGTTGCCCAAGGAAGTTGTAGATGCCCCCTCCCTGGAAGTGTTGAAGGCCAGGTTGGATGAGGCTTTGAGCAACCTGGTCTAGTGGAAGGTGTCCCTGCTGCTGGCAGGGGGGGTGGAACTGGATGATCTTTAAGGTCCCTTCCAATCCAAACCATTCTATGATTCTATGAGTCCAACCATGAACCCAACACTGACCAGTCCCCTATGACTAACCCATGTCCCTCAGCACTATGTCTACACGACTCTTGAATCCCTCCAGGGATGGGGACTCCACCTCGAGGTGCCTCCCAGCCCCACATACACCTGGGTAAAGCTTTTTCCCCCTCCCCTTTCTCTCTCTCTCTCTCAGCGTATTCAGCCAAGCGGGGCAGAGCCAACCGGCGCCTGCTCAGCAGGGCATGTACAACAACATGAGCATCACCGTCTCCATGGCTGGAGGAAACACCAACGTCCAGAACATGAACCCCATGGCTGGACAGATGCAGATGAATTCATTGCAGATGCCTGGGATGAACTCCATGTGCTCGGAGCAGGTCAGTCAGTCCCGTACCAGGATGGTCAGTGAGTTCCCAAGAGGTTCTGCCATCCCATTTCTCCAGCCTTGAGGGTATCTTTGCCCAAAGGGGGTGAAGGAGGAACCAGCAGAACTGGCATTGTCACTGTGCTAGAACCCAAGGCCACCAGTGTCCCAGGGTGTCCCATGTGTCCTTAGGGGAACAGGGACATGTTGAGTACCTCCAAGCCTTCGTGGTGGGCTGGTGGTAGGTCCATTTATAGCCCAGGGAGATGTGAACAGTTGGATACAGGACATTTCTACAGTCCCAGCCCCCACAGGTCCCCCAGGGTCCCTCTGTCACCAGAGAGGTGAGAACCTCTCTGGGCCAGACTGAGATGCCTCCAACTTTTTTAGCCACTGGGGTTTGTCTCAGCACCACTAAACTCCTGGCTCATTGGTTTTGTGTGGGGAGTTGTGGGCTGGGGCTTGCAGCCCCTGTGGGGAGAAGCCGTGGGGCTCAGCGAGAAAGGAGGCTAGTCCCTCCCATGAGGTGGCTACAGTGCACTGGTGGCTTTGACCCCCCTCTTGCAGAGCAGTTGGGTGGCATTTCATGCTGCCCTGGGGGTGAGGTGCCCCCTGGAGCTGTCAGCAACCCAAGGCAAAGGTGGGGAGAAAGGTGAAAC